TCATATGAAAAACCTATCTAATGAGAAGAAAACACTAAGATACTAGTAAATTTACAAATTTCAAGTAAGGATTTTTTTTTCCTCTGTCAATCTATTTGGACTATATTTTATTATAACAATTTTTTTTTTTACACCAGAATTGATCAGCTCACTCTGGGAAATTGCACAGGCCATTGAGCCTTAATGAATCACCTTTTACTATCTTTTATTATCATGTGTTAATGAAATTTTAATGCTGGAAAAAATTTACTAAAGAGCATATGTTTGGAATAAGATTAGCTTGGCATTTATAAAAAATATAACCAAGTGATCATTTCAAGGATCACAGACAAGAATAGATTAACCATGTGGTTGTGAATTTTGAGAAGTATTGTGGATTCCACAAAACATAAGTGTTAAAAAAAAATAGTTGCTTTTAATATTTTTTAAAATCCGTTTTCTTCTTCTCCTTTTATTTTTTGTCCATACTTCAATGCTCATGCTAACAATCGGTGTATGTGGATGCTTTTATTAAGGCTAATTTATTTCCCTCTCCTTCACTTTTCTGCCACTGCTGATAGAGAAACCTGCAGAAGGGAAATGGCCAAGAGGATCCTGTCAATAAAAATTGATTTGCTCTCTGCAGGTGGCACACTATTGGAAAAAAAAAATAACAGGTTCATTCTGACTGCTTGTTTTCTTCTACTGATCATTTATTAATTTGCAGCTTGGAAAGCCTCATTTGAAAGAAAAGCTACCCATACACACACTTCTTAATTATTCCTTACACCAAAAGTTGATGGGAAAAAAAACGATGCCCAAAGAATTTCCCTCCTTCAGACAGAAGGTCCTGCTAAGCTCAGTAGGCAACATTTAGATTTCCAGATGTCAAGCAATTGCCTCTGCCACATGGACACCAGAAACAAATACAAAACTTCTAAATATTTGCATTAGGAGGAAAGACTGTAGATGCAAACTGTTCAAAGAAAATCATTCTACATTTGAAATCCAACTAGTTAAAAGAACAGCAGTAATTTGTGGGTTTTGAATGCATCTTCAGGACATCATTTTTTCCTTCTGAAATGTTTCCTAATATTCCCTCATATTTTGAATATGTGCTTTTGTTTGAAAAAAAATCACATACTACAGAGAAACTGACTAACAAAGTAAACAATGACACGATAGTCAGTAATCATATGTTGACTGCCCTTCAAAGTACTTAACAGTATAAGCTGAAAACAGAATTCTGGATCTGAGCTTGTCTTTGAACCTGACCATAAGCATTATCAAATGACTACTTTCACTGAGGATTCGTGACAGTTGTAACATCACAGCAAATGGTAAACTTTTGGGAAAATATTTAAAACTTCATGCAGACTCAATATAGTTTACATCAGGATAGGGTAGGGTATGACTGTTTTGTAGATTCTGGAAGCAGAACTCTCTTTGCTACATACAACTTTAATGGTGGCAACACTGAAAAGACTCACTGAACAAAAATAGCCTTTCCCTCCTTTTCATTCCAGTACATATCTATATGATAACGTAGTATATCTTGAAACAAATTCTAAAGTGGACTTTTTGACAAATATATCTATTTCTGATATTTCTAATAAACAGGTAAAATGCCTAACTAATGCTTTAACTAGCTGAGCTCTAATTCAGTCCTAAAGTGCATGGCAACTAACAAATTAAAAATCATTTTCAAGAACGAGGTAACAAGAGAGGAGCAGTTCGCTTTTTTGTTTATTTGTGAGTATGAAAGGTATTATTAAATGTGGACATGAGCGTAAACATTCATCTCTTGTTATTGCAGACTTTTGAAACTCGACAAAATTAGTTCATGAAAACCAGTAAAATTTTACATTTATGTGCACCCCTGGCTGATACTGTTACAACATCCAAAATAACATGACAACTACGTAAGGGACATACATACTTTCTCTAAATATCCCCTGGACGTGTCAACAAGTCTTACCTTATTATTCCATAGGCACTTGAATTCCAGTCAGAAGCTCAGAAAAGTAAATTTTCCAACTCAGATCAGTGCATTATTTCTCCTCTTGGATATGATGGCTTGTATTTCCACAGTATTTTGTGTGGGAAGATTTCAAAGTACTTTGTAGCTAATACTACAACTCTATGTCTATGACATACTTTTTAAAACACTGCAGCAAAATAGCTTACTGGGAAAAATAAGACCTATGAGAAAATAAATGTGAAAGTGCTAACCAATTTCAAAGGCTTTACACAAGAGACACAGATTACCATTCCCTAACAGAATGAACAGCCATAAAATCATGAATTTAAAATTAGCCCTGTTTGTACATGTCTCATTAAGTACTTAAAATGAAGAAACATCAAAATGACATAGAAATATAGAATTTACGTTCATTAAAGGCTGAATTCTAAAATAATTATAAATTGGCTGTTGTACAATAGAAGACTGCCACAGCTAGAAAACACTTTCATGTTCTTACTGAAGAACTAGAACTGAGAAACCATAGAAATAAAAAAAAAAGTCACTGATTTTGATTGTTTATCAAGACATAGTTTCACTTTTAGCTGGATGTCTACCTAAGCTATCTTTTCATACACAGCTCTGGCCAGTCATTATTACGCTTCCATCTCCTTTTCCATGGTCTTCACTCATCATCCTATGCATTTCTCTAATGAACAATGTTCGGATAAGTTACCCGACTTTAAAAAAATCACAGAAATTAATGTTACATTTCATGGAGTTTTGCTATACCAGTTTATACTCTATTCAAGAAAAGGATGCTTAGCAGCACTGTGATCTCACTTTTCAGATTCAAGCACCATCAAAGAATTCATTCTGCCTTTTGTCAGCTCTAACGCTGCAAGTTGAGCAGGTGAGAAGAAAAATACTCCAATTCTCCTCCATCATCTATGTAGGGCAAGAGAAGAGTTTTTCTTTATTCAAGAAATGTTTCTTTTTTTGTTTTCTTTCTTTCTTTCTTTTTTTTTAATAAAGGTAGACTTACATCCTATAACCCTCACTGCTCTAGTGAACAAATCTCATTACGCCCATCTATCTGATGTCAAACCAAAGGAGACTGCAATACAGTTCCTGAATCCTCACTCATCAACAATCAGGAAAGAAAACTTGTTTGCCTGATTTCAGGAACAAATGTATCACTATTTACTTTTTAGTACATGAAACAAAATTCAACAGTGAAGATCTCTGAGCTCTGCAATTCATTAAGTATGAATGCTGAACTAAATGGCAAGCAGCAGTAAATACAGGAAAATATATTCAGTACCAAATATTTATACAGAATTATACATAATAGTATTAAAATATTTTTTAGCATTTAATTGGATAAAAGCTTCAGGTTACTAATGTGCATATTCATCTTTTATGCTGCTGGAGTTTCCAACTTGCTAAGTACCTAACATCACTGAACGGTAAAAAAGAGGATGATGTGTAAAATTATTTCAGTTCTTCAGTGAGCCATAATGTACATAAGGCTTTCATCGTGGAAATAAACTGAAGATTCACATGCTTGTGGCTTCCACAGCAAATGAAACTCTGGAAATGATACTCTCAGTAAAGCCAGGAATGTCAAAAATCAAGGAAAGGAAACAAAGCAGTAATGGACTTACCAGGTAAAAAGAAAGAGAAGGCTGAGAATCCTGCCTATAATCTTCGTCTCTTCCCTTTCTCACACTGCTCAGTAGCAGCACAATACCTATTCTTTTTAACATTACAAGAGTATACCACTTCAGAGCCACTTTTAAGATTGCAGCTGTTGGGTACTAAGGAAGCCAGAGAAAATTCTGTATGAAAACCTACTTTGAGTATTGTGAGGAGCTTGGTAATTACAACTGTGATACATTCTAATTGAAAAATTTAAATTGCAGATGTACAGGCCAAAAAACACCCATCCGTTTCGTATCCTGGGATACAAACTAACACCAAAGCTTGATTTTTAATGATTAATTTCTCCAAAGTCCTTTTCCCTAGTCAATACTCACTCACCTCTGTTATCACTCACCACTGATCCTACTGAAGTTTTTAAGAACCTAATGATGATGGTTAACTTTTAAAATCAATACTTCTGTGTGCGCTTCATGGAGAAAAATAAACTTTTCACATAGATAAAGTTATATTGAAAAATAAGTTGGAAAAAAATGACAACATAAAATATAATCCAAATGAAATATTAATGGTAAAATGATGATGATATGTTACAGCCTTATGCATTAATGCCATGTCATACTGCTTTACCAGTCAATGCAAGCTGATGCTGCTTAGCAAATTTTAACAATTTTGTTAATAATATACAAATTACACTAAACTTTAATTTGCTTTCAAGACGTCTTCATTTTCATAATGTAAATAAATTGGGAATACAAAATTATGAAAATTCTCTTTCTCCAGCAACGTTTCCATTAGATATTAACTCAGCAGTTCTAATCTTTGCTTTATGTAGTGTAAGCAGTAGAACAATTCTTGAATTCCTGATGCTATAAGTAGAATTTATATCCTATTCCCTCACAATAGTGAGGGAATAATTTACAGTAATCCAAATTTTAATAACATTCCCAATTCAAAATCTACCTGCTACTGATGATAGATGATAGGAACTTTTTTATTTTTTAATTTAAAAAGATTTTAATTTCCATTTTGAAAGAAAAAAATATATATTTCCCAGATTTATTAATCCTACCTTTTCCAAGACAAAATCCCTCTGTGAATGAGAATCTATCTTCCAGAAATATTTGATGCTCCAGATCACAGTAACCTGTGATCCACAATAACCACTTCCAAATGGGATTACATATATCTTCGTAAGAGAACTTCTGCCTCAATTCCTTAAGATAAGATTGATTCTCATTCTCTTATTTCATCTTATCTTCCAAAGTATTTTGTAAGACACTGTGTGTAGCAGTATGACTAGCATATGCACCTAGTACCAAACTCTGCAGAGCAACTAAAAAACTTCACAGATGACTGCTATAACGCAGTCATTCCCATGAAGACAAGACTTATTCACCTGCTGAAGTTGTGCTTTTGAGATGCGAATGACAGGGGGAAACTTGTTGCCACAGGGAATGACAGGAAGCTGCCTACGACCAGTTGAGCGGGAAGAAGAGGAGTGGCTCTCAGCTGATTGACTCCTTGGTAAACCAGCCTCTTTCAGAGGGTCCGGGTGGATGGACAGATAGGCTATAGGGCTCATGGTGCGGAGGATGGGACTTGAAATTCTTGGAGTGGAGAAATGCAGCATATGAGATGAGTTGAGCTGTGAGAACATGGCAGGGAAAAAATAAGGTTCAGAAATAATTCTGTAGTAATTCTTGTTTCTGTCCTGCATATATGCATTTTCTTAGAAGACTGCATTGCAATCTCCCTCACATGGTAAAAGCTAATAATTTAAGAGGTTTCTTTTTGATTGTTGTTGTTTCTTTTAAAGTCTAATTACCATATTTTCCATCAATTAAAAAAAAAATCTAACATCCAAGTCAAAAGCAAGCATCCTTTCTCCTGCTGGCTCCTGTCATTCAGTCAGTCAGAACCTAGGGCACATTTAATGAACTAACATAGTCCATTCCAGGGATGCCACGTAGAGAGGCTAGTTGATTGTTGGCTGGTCCTCACAAATGCTCAGCATATCCATTCAACAGCGTTGTTTTCTATGATAATTATGATTTTAGCGTATGCACCCATTGCATGCTTTACATACATGACTGTATAACTATGGCTATAGCAGTGTATATTAAGAACCATAGCTGACGGGATTAATCAGTAAGATTAGCACTAGACAATGAAATTTCCCAAACATGGAATTGAATTTGCAGGATACACTGGCCTGGAGAATCCATCAACATCTGCTTCATTTTGTATCATATCAAGCAAGCATTTAGAAAAGAGCAAAAACAACAGGAATGGTAATGTCAAAGTGTTCCAAGGTAATAATTTTAAAGAAAGTACATTTTCTAATTGGTTATCAATAATTCTAATAAACCTATAGATTTGATGCACAATTCTGAAGCCAACCGATGCCTTCCAAGGCTTTTACCTGTGCTGAATAAGTGGCGACACATCTAAATATCTGTTAGTGAGATTACTGCTTATGGCTTACATGGTTTTGTTCCAATTATATTTGGACAAAAAATGTAAATCCATGAACAGCAGAGGTATGGAAACTTTTTTTTGCAAGCTACATATACATGATTTTCCATTTCCTGTTGTGGTATTTGCAATTCTAACCTGTATTCCTTGGAAACAGAGCACGCCTGTCAGCATTGCAGTTTCCAAGGAAAAGGTATTCCCACTTGCGTCAATCCTAACACTTCAGTTCCCTTACTACATATCTATCTTTCAACTAAAGGAAAAAAAATTATTTCCAGTGTCTCATAAAAACAGAAACTGAAAATATAAAGCACATGAACACTACAGCACTAAGAACCCTCCAATAAATGAAAATTTAAGAGCAGCTTTATTGATACAACATAACTCAATGTATAAAATGCTAATTTCAGCAATATTTCTAAGTAATAAGAATAAGTGCATTCACAGAGTTAAATAACTTCTATAACCATGCACATACATATTTGGTATTAGGTTGCCAAGAAAATGTGACCAGAGTAAACTGTTGTCTAATTTAAATTGAAGTTGAAACAGGCATTAGCTGATAAATATTGGATTACTTTAACACCATTGTTGTTTTTTATGCTGAAATAACTGCTTGGCAAATATACTATGCTGCAAACAGTCTTGTGCATCCACTATATGGAGGTCACTGCAATTCAATACAAAGACGGTAAATTAATGAGGCCATAGTTCAGCAACACAGCAAGTTCAGCATTAAACTCTTAGAACCAGATAAAGAAGAAAAAGAAAAAAGCAAGAGGATGCAAAGTGCTGCTCCAATGTAAATTTCTGAATAGAGTTTATATCACTTCCAATTCTTTTGACAAATTAACACCAGCAGATGTTACTGTAAATCAGATACTGCCTGTCCTGTTGAAGCCAAACTCTACATAAAGCCAACATGAAATCATACAGTCAGCACATACATACCAGCATGCTAAGAGTAATTCAACAGAAATTGACTGCATGCCCATGACCAAGCCACATCAAACTGGTATTTATTGGGTAATCTGTTCTGTGTGACTGCAAAACCATGTCTGATAACAAGAAAATTATCTCTTTACATACATGCATTTCCACAAATGATAGCATAATTTTGTAGTTTTTTTTAAGCCTAAAACTTGCTAATCCCAAACCAATAACTTACATATTTTTTCTCTTATTCTTTGAGCTCAGATTTCCCTCTTGAACTGCTACAATCTCACATTCTTAATAGGAGCACTGATGTTGTGTGTAACTGGTAAGAAATGATATTGTCACCAATTACAGAAAAACCACGTATACACATGATATCCTGAAAAGCAATTACCTGCAAATTGAAGGACTACGGATCAGCCATTTCTTACCCTCAGGAGAAAATAAAATTGGGGGGGGAGGGGGAGGGAAGGGAGAAGAAACCTTCAATTTCCTATACAGAAACATCCTTGCTACTAAAAAATATTTCATCTATTCACTTACTATTCACTAACATTAAAGTAAGTGCTTGCATATTTAAAAAAAAAAAAAAAGCTACCTGAATTCTCAAACTCTCAGAATAAACTCAAAGACCATAATTCATCATACCTTCTCCTAAGTGATAACGTGATAAGGTCACTGGGAATCCATATGGGAGGTATATTAATAAGCACGATGATTATGAAGATAAGAATGGTTATAAGCCACAAGTTACAAATTTCAAATGAGTAATCTGTTCAGAAATTATGGTAAGATACTATACTCTGAAATTTCAGCATCTATCTTTAACCCCTTTTAGTAACACTTCTTTTAAATCATTTGGTATATGGTCCCAAACTTACATTCATGAATCTAATCTCTTAGTAACAGATTCAACATATCTGAAATTAGCAGAAGAGTAAAATATGACCCTTTGCCCATTTGTACTTGTTGTCAGGAAGGAACTATCTAGATAAAACTATAAACAAGAACATTTGAATCTAATTAAGGTTGTTATCATTTCATAAACACAGCACCAACTTCACTATTAAAATTATGCAAAATCTTTCAAAGCATTTTTATTATTGGAATCATATTATCTTGAGCATTTCACATTGCTGTCATGTAACTGTACTCTGCTCCCCAGTTTGGTTCTGTGGCCCAATAGGAAGCATGTGCTAAGCCAAAACATACAGTGTGAGATACATACGTTTTTTTGAGCCATAACAGGCTTTACTAAGGTTGTGGTATTTGTCACCTTTATATCAATTCAAAGGAGACTCTCTTATCTCAATACTATGGCTTTGGCAGCAGTTGTACACATTGAGAGGTAAAAAAAAAAAATCCAACCAGCAGGCAGAGTATAGCCTACTCAGCCTTCTCCCATAATTGTGTCTCTTGTTTTGAATTGCACTGGCAGTAGCAAGTATAGCCCTAAGAGATAAATAGTGAACAGATAAGTTTGTGGTAAAGAAAAAAAAATTGATGGCATTACAGAAAAAAATACAGCATGACATTTACCTTGAGCTATCATTTTTAGTCAACTTTAATTTACTACCATAGGGGATGTCAGATTAAGGAGATTATTTATGAAAGGTAAGATTAGTTCAACCACAAAACTGCTTTAAAAAAAATAACCCATAGCACCTTTCAAACATCGCATAACAAATATTTTGAAGATTAGGGTGGTCTGTCCTACCTGTTTCAAATAGCATGTCATGCTGCCTCCACACAAATGTACATAAGTACAGGTCCTTGAGGAAAGTATAGTCTTTTACATAACTTGGCTCACTTCTAGAACAGAGATTTCAGGTACCATTTCCAACTTACCTTTGCAACAAAGATTGTAGCACAGTATTTTACACGTTCATTGTGATTTTATGTTTATGTATGACAAATATAATTAATACCAGCTTATATGTGTTACTCTCATTGATTAGAAAGCTCTGCATAAATAGATTCGTAATATGTTTTAACTGAGGCAAATTCCGTGGATCATACCTGCAGAACAATTATCCAAGTCCATGGGAGAAAGTAAATACTCATAACAAAGCATGGAAGATTACCCCTCAAGAATCAAGTCCCATTTCTAATAAAACTATTTCTGCTACACTACTGCAATTGATCTACTGCTTTTTCACTTATTACCTCCTCACATAATTCTGAGCAAAGAGAGACTTAATAAAACAGCGAGTGTTTTTCTTACCGGAGTGAGTGCTCCTTCTGCTTGAGCTTCCATAGGGCTTGTAGGGGTGGCTGCAAGGAGCTGTCCAGCAGCTCCTGTCAGGAGTTCCAATTTGTCTGTAAGCTGTTCAGAAGAAGCAGGATGACTTTCCATGGCTAGAAGAAACTCCACCCCTGACGTTTGATTCTTGGCATGGACACTGTTTCCTGCCCAGCCTCCTTGTCTGGGCTGCTCTTCTGGAGGGGACTCCTCTAGAACTTGTAGTACCTCCGGCTCTTCATCTGAGGGACTTCCAGTCGTTTTGTGCCCTAAAACTTCATTTGTCCTGAAATCCTGCAAGTCCCGTTCCTTATCTATTATCACCCATTCCTTAGAATCAATCTCCTGCCTGCAGGAGCTTAAGTTGACAGCTACAAATCCATTGCCAACAACACCATCAACTTGTTCTGGAGAACCAGCTGACACAGGTTTTGAAGCATCTGGAAGATATTCTTCATCATAGTGCCAAACATGGTCCATGCGGGCAGCCACAGGAGCAGGAATGAGTGATTTCTGAGGAAGAGGAACAGCAGCAACTGCAGTCTCTGCTGCAGCATTCAAGTCTTTCTGCCTCTTCTCCAAACTTAAGAAAAGAAATATTTGAATTAGTTACTAATGATGTAAGCTACATTTGATAGTTTTTCAGTTGATGAAAACCAGATTTACCTAAAAAATTGTTGCCAGATTTTAGAAAAACCTATAGTGAAAGAGCTACAATTTGAGGCAATTCCATAACTTAAGCCAAAGAAAAGAGAAACAAATATAGAGAAGAAAACAATTATTTCACTGTGATGTTTATTATCTGCTTCTTTAAAAATTAACTCTAATGGCAATTAAAAACAGTTGGTTGGTCTTAGAAGTTTGCACACATATCAAGGCAATTATCCTGAGAGAATGGCAGAGAGAATCATGAGCGATTGACAGGTTGGTGTTCTGGTTTCCATCTGCATTTACGCTATGCTACAAAGAATCCAAGTGGAACAGTATAAACAGAATTCTCCAACAACAGTTAGAAGATGCTTTCAAAATCAGTGTTTCTGTTTTTTGGATTCCCAATTTATACTTTCCTTAATTTGTTTCAAACAAATTCAAATTACTAATCCTCAACGGTGTATTAGAAGGATTTTGCCACTGTCAACATCTCATCTATCTTCTCCTGTGTCCCACTTCAGCCACTGCCTCTCAGACAGATTACAATGCATCTTCATTTTTCTTTATTTTTTTCTGTATAAGGGCAAATTTGATTTAATCAGCTCTGATATAGCTTTCCTTTCTCTGTCTTCAAATTCCATTTTAAAACCTTTGTTTTCTAACAGTTTTTTTGTGTTGGTTTTTTGTTGTTTTTTTTTTTTAATGTTGGTTCAACATTTTTTAGTATAACTAGATCTGCCACATGCAAGTAGACTTCTAACTTGACTTTGTTAAAAAAAAAAAAACACAAAAAAACACTCAGCTTCTTGTAAGCTGTCTTTCTCATCTCCTAGCAACCAGTCCCACATTAGCTCTACTGAGCACTTGACGTCATCATTCTTATTTTGGATGAGTTGTAATGACTGTCAAATGTCAAGACCATTCCAGTGAAGAAAAGTTAATAAACATCACCCTGTAATAAAAGATTTTTTTTTTTTTATAAAAAATGACCTTAGCTCTATACTAGCGTTAGTCTTTTCCTTCTTTTCCTTTTTTTTTTTTTTTTTTAAGTAAAGACCAGGTAAAGCCACAACATCAGTAAGTTGAGCAATGTTATGAACATATTTAATATTGTTTGCTGTAGCTTGCATAAGCACAGCTCAGCAAATATGTTTAGGATTTTCACAAAGTGCTGTAAATCGACAGAGTAACAGCAGAGAGATTATACTGTCTCAACAACTTATTCTGTAACAAATCTAAGCATAAAAATAAAATAGAAATAATTTATTTACCAGTTCTCAAGAAACTTATCGGTGTCTGGCTTTGACTCCAATGTCAGACGCTTCTCAAGTTCAAAGCTGTGAATTGAACGCAGCTTTCGAACCAGTGGGACATCTCTGTCCAGCTGGGTGGTCTCTGAGCGCACACGAACTGGAGAACCTAGACTTGGAGCATTAAGCATTCCATTCACAGGTCCCTGGCTGTTTTCCTCTTCTGTGGCAGCCTACACAAAAAGTAAAAACATAACACACTAGGAATGGCAAAATAGAAGAAGACACAGAATTGTATAGTGAATACCATCCAGGATTTTATCAATTGATAAGCCAATTTGTATTTGGAACGCTCCTTAAGCTCACACCACACTTAAGACAGTTTAGACATGCTCTTCAGCGTGTACCCACAAGAGCCAAAAAAGGTCTAGTAATGTACCTGTAGTAATGCAATAGCTCTAGGGAGGTCTAAAAACAAGAGTCTAAACAAAACAAAACAAAAAACAGTAATATACTTAAATTTATATTGATTTTTCATACCCACCACTAAAATTTACCTCAAAAGTAGTTTGAAACCAGTCACTTAGAAACATCTTCAGACTGCTTCAGAGCAAACAGTTCTTATTACAGAAAAGTTAGCTTCCAAGCTGTCTTTATGATCCTCAACCTAGAACTATATCTTAGCTCAACTGCATTCCATCTGGTATACGAGCTGGACACAACTTAAATCATGATTATCCTTAATTTCAACAGGTGCAACTAACAAAAACTGCATTTGTTTAAATCAAAGAAATTGGCTTTCTCCCTTTTCGGAAAAAATAAAGAATAATAAAAACAAACAAAAAACCCAAAAAACTCAGCAACTCTGAAAAAGGCACCATGTCTTATGGCCTACCGCAACACATTTTTTTCTAAAAACAACCCTCAACAGCCTGAAAACTAGGCATCTCTCTATCTAAAGAACATTTCAATGACATGCCTATTGAGCAGTTTAAAATATTTTTATATCAAGAAAAAGAGCTACATTTTCTGAATATGAAGTCTAGTGATTGTGTCTGAAAATATGAAATACTGTGATTGCAAACAAAGGAAATAGGAACTACTTCTGAGAGACTATATGTCAATCTTAAGAAACCTTCTCTACAAAAGATTAATCCATTAATCTCTCTGCATCGGTAGAAAGGTACCATATCTTACAGAAGCAAAAAACACCACATGAACTAAAAGGATACTACCAATCATGCTTAATGTTAATTTGTCACTTGAAAAATAATAAATAATACTAAAATATTTTTTGTATTCTCTGTATCTAAACTCTACTCATGCAAAATACAGAAAATCTGCTTTGGTTTCACACACTGAGCAAGAATTGAAATGATGTCTGAAGAACATGAATATGATGATCACTTTAAGAAATGATACCAATAACATTACAAACTATGCCACTCTCATAGCAAACTACGTTCTCAGAATAAGCTTGAAAGAGTCTCAAGTTTAAAATTATCAGCAAATTATTCATCATAAAGACCAGAAAAGCTCAAAAGCTTGTCTACTTTTTCTAGTATACAGATTGGTCTAATAAAAAGTGTAAACTCTACCATGAAATCTTGTTTACTTAAATCACTCTGAGTAATTCATACTAGCATGACTGTATTATTAATGATATTCTACTGTGTACCATGAGGACGGGAAGTTGTTTGTAAATCTTCACAATACAAATTTGTAAATACCTTACAAATCCCTAGTTTTATTTTGTTTCTGTTTGCATCCATTTCTTCCCAAACGTCTTTTTCCTGAGAACGCTGATGCCCAGGAGACCCAGGCAGCTTCTCTGGTGAGACACCAACTGGAATACCATTCTCTCCATCACTGAGCTGTTCATCAGGAAATACTTCATCTGTGTTTTCCCGCAGCAAATCTCCTGGGATAGGAGTGGCATTGGCAATTCTACAAAAGTAAAAAAAATACTGGAAAAGTCAAAAAACTTAATTATGTGAAAAACACTTAAAAGCTGCTGCTTGAACATTTTCAAATTAATTTCTGAAGAAAAATTGTTAGAGATCATATCTACTACAGAGCACTGGATAAATACTATTTTCTTCCATCACTGTATGAAAATCCTCTATAAATGCTCTTCAGTTGAAAAATGTTTGTTTGTTTGTTTTTCCAAATGGAATTCAACAGTTGCTTAGTATCTGCATATAACAATTCATAGTAACTGGAATAACATTCTCCTCTTAGTACTTCCTGGAATAGAAATGGACTACAAAGTCCTTCATATTGGTTATACCAAGGACCATCGATTGATAAATAAACCAGGATGTTCTGACAGAATAGTAATGTCTTACTTTCTATACTGTACAGAAATATACTGAACAAATGGTAGCATGTAAAATATGGTAAACCAGAATTATCACCTCGGAAAATACAGTACCTGACTTCTGGGAAAACAGTTCAACAAATTTGACTGTTCAAAGAATAACGAAGATAACAGTAAAGTTTGAAAATATCTTACATATCACATAATTCATGTGTATGAAATTAAAAAACTTCCTTTCAAACTAGTATCATTTTAACCATAGCCCAGTCAATAGTTACTCTGTAAGTTCTAACGATTTTATTCAAATGCTGTAGTTTTTTGTGGATTTTTTTAAGTGTGTGTTTAAAAAACCACACCTGCTGCAATCCATGTGTTTGTTTATTTAGCTAGAATAACTTTATTTAACACAGCATAAAGATAAGACAATGTCAGCTTTTTACTAAAAAAGCTATCGATGCAACTTTTGTCTCTTCTCAGATTCAGTAATTGTTTCCATTCCATCAGAATTAATTTCAGTGACCATACACAATGTGCATACATACCCAATTGCAGCTGGAGTAAGACGAGTGTGTAACTGAGGTGTGGTTGAAGTTGTAGTCGTTGTCAGAGAGCCATCAGTTCCACTTTTCTCCCAGTCAAAAGGATCACTTTCAATAACCCCAAAGGTTTTCATGCTGTTATCAAACACAGACATGAGAAGCTAAAAATGAAGAAAAAAAGTTCATTAGCTTCATTTTTGTCACAGAGATCAAGCAATTTAGAAATATCGTCCAGTAATAATTCAACATACTCCTTCATGATCCTGAGTGACAATTTTCCAGGAATACATATTTATCTTTTATAATTTTTGCAATGTTTCAAATGTAAGATATGCAAACTTCTGTTTTACATTAAAAACAAATAAGCAAGAAAAGACAACCAAATCTTCCCTGTGTTTCTAGCAGAAAAGAGAGGCAAAAAAGGTAGAAATGTGCATACAAGCATGACTAAGTTGCTGCAGAATAGGAGCCACAGCTTTCCAAGAGAGAAGGATGAAAGAATATATTCAGCAATCATTAATCATTAAATCATTAAATGCTAGGGAATTAATCAGAAGTGCATAGGAAGAATACCAATTCACTTCTTTTATTTAATACTTCTTTTATTTAATACCATTCATCATTTATATTATCCAGTGCTGACATCCATACCACAGAAAAGCCACATGAGGAAGCTTTCCTCTCTGATTTTATGCTATGAAAATTCATCTAGGACAATTTGCGTCCATGGGAGAGAAAGAAATTACATCTGCTTTCCTCTTGCTTTGGAAAACTTTTGTCTCATTCCAGTAACTGGTGGAAAGGCTGCGTCTGCATCACATCATCACTTGCTTCAAAACATTTTGACAAATTATACTTTTCTCTTAAAAGCTAAATCTTTGGTTTTCATTCTTTCTTCTGATCAAGGTTGCTGGAAATTTCTCTGCCTCTTTTAAAAACACCTGCTTTTTCTAACTTAAAATGGATGGGAAGTTTGGATCATTTTTCTTGCACAAAATGCATTCATTTTATCTTTACTCTTAAGAGCTCTCAAAAATGCTATCTATCTCTGTCAATCCAAAACCCTACTGAACTGTACAAGGCCATAATTCATTCTGTCCCATTCACACTCTCCTTTATTCTATTCTTCCTGTACCTTCTCTCAAATTATTTTAGACATCATTCTCCTTTAAATCTTTACTATAATTTATGTTATAATGCAAAAACAAATGTCATTTTCAACATACTAGCATAAAACAGTTAATTTTTTTTAATTTTATTTTTTGTTAAAATATGGGTCAACAGTGAGTGACTAAAAGTACACCACTTTATCACCAATCTGAAGTTGTCTATCTCAGCAAGCAATACTCTCTTCAACAAAGAAAAATGATTATTTAGTTTTCTAGTGATCTCCATAGGCAACACTTCAGAGTGGGGGGAAAAAAAAGCATCATGTCATGATCCAGCTGTAAGTATCAAGGGTGCTGAGCTCAAGATTTCTGAAAATTGCCTGAGTGATTATTACTATAAAACAATCTCATCAATTTAACTTAAAGAGCACTCAGTGGAATATGAGCATAGCATCCGAACTTAACAGATTACTGACTGCAAAGCAACTGACTATCATTTTTAGAAACCTAACAGCCTTACGCTTCCAAAATAGGGGGAAAAAAATAACATCTTTGAACTGTATCCACAGTCACTAGAAGCACAGAAAAGCCTGAGGTGGAGGGGACCGATTTCAACTCCTGGCTCCACACAGGACCCCCAGAATACAAACCATGTTTCTCAGAGTATTTTCCAAATGCTTCTTGAATTCTGGCAAGCCTGGTGCTGTGACCACTGCCCCAGCACTGCCCCAGGGCCCGACCACGCTCCAGTGAAGAACTTTCTCCTAGCACCCAGCCTGACACTGCTCTGACACAGCTCCACATCGTTCCCTCAGGTTCTGCCGCTATTACCAGTGAACAGAGCTTGGCACTGCTCATCTGTTCCCTGTGAGAAGCTATAAACCACCACGAGGCCTCCTTCAGCCTCCTCTGCTCTGGGCTGCACTAACCAAGGGATATCAGCCATTCCTCTTATATCTTACCTTCTCAACTCTTACCATCTCTGTAACCCTCCTTTGGATGCTCTCTAATAATTTCATGCTCTTCTTACATTGTTGCACCCAAAACTGCACAGTGCTCAAAGTGAGGCCACACGAGTGCAGAACAGAACAGCAGTGGGTCTGATGCACCCCAGGGTACAGTTGGCCCTTTTGGTTGCCAGGGCACACTGCTGACTCCTGTCCAAATTGCTATCAACCAGAACACCCAGATCCCTTTTCCAAGGGGCTGCTCTCCAGTCTCTCCTCTACAAGTTTGTACATAAGCCAGGGTTGCCCTGATCCAGGGTGGAGAGCAGAATCCAGCACTTGTTCTCGAAGTTAATATGGCTCGTTATTGCCCAGCCCTCTAAATTAATCAAGATTTCTCTGCAGGGCCTCTCTGCCCTTGAGGAAGTCAACAGCTCCTCTCAATTTAGTGTTGACTTTCAAGACCTATATCCAAGTCACAAATGAAAACATTAAAGGGAACAGGTCCTAAAATGAAGCCCGTCCACAGTCCACTAGTGCGTGACCAACAGTCTGATGTAATCAATTTACTCCAATCATTTCAACTTGACCAATCAGCCAATTCTTCACCCACCACATTATCCCTTGTCTAGATATATGCTGGACAGTTTGTCCAGAAGGATACTGTGAGAAACAGAAAGCTTAGTTGAAATCCACAACTGGCTTCCTACAACTATGTTGGTAATGTTCTCATAAATGTTGGTAACCTTGTCATTAAAGATTAAGTTGGTTAAGCAGGACTTTTCCCTCATGAACTCATGTAGTCAACGATTGCATTGCCTTTCAGATGTTTTTCCAATAACTCCCAGAATAATCTTCTCCATAATTTTGCCAGACACCGAAGTGAGACTGCCACACTCAAGACCAGACAATGAAATCAAAGGAAATCAAAGATGCAACTGCATAAGATTCTGCAATTTAAAACCAGAGATTCAAAAAAGTAAAAATGTTTACCTGGTAATCAGGTTTTGTAAAGTAATCTAAATTAGAAATGTGATCCAGAAAGATGTTGAATTCTTGAGGAAGGTGTTTCAACATAAGTCTGTGCTCATACCTCTCTTTAATGGATCCCACTTGCTCCTAGGAGCAAATAATACAAAAAACGTTAGCATACCTTTGTTCTCTGCTACATACCCACAATGCCATCTTACAGCCATTCAAAACAATACTAACCAGAAAGACAGGTGTGTTACACCGATTAGTACTGAGGAAGGCAGTTCTTAATCAGATAGTAAGGTAAGAGATTGCCATCAGTACATACACAAAAACAACATACTAACTTCAAATTGAATATGAAAAGCACTTCACTTCTGCGCTTGAATGCTGCCTGATATCATTAGAAATTTCAACCCTTCTAAAGAGCCTGCTTTAAAGATTAAAATATCTTGTATCATCTGAAGTCCAATCAATTTCTGGTGATTATTTGGTCACTGCAATACATCATACAAAATCTTGCTTAGTGTAAGATGAGCAAATCAAAACCAAAAGAAGCTACCTACACAGCACACTATCATCTACTAACACATGAACTACAGGAGTAACCTAGTTTCAATATAAATTCAGGAGAAATTGGAAGAATAGTAATAAGCTAATTAAATACCATTTTTCTGAAATATCTTACCTAAGATATGTGCCAAAAGAGTACTGCATATTAATTAATTAATTTTTGTTCATCAGCACATAAGAAATGCTCACTTCACAAATAATCAAAATAGATAAATAATGCTCAGTGTCCAAAAGGTAAAATAAAAAAAAATATCCAAGTGAGAACAAGAGCACAAATTCAGTGGTATGTATACACTTACTTTTGTTTTCTGAAATATTTTCAAGCTATAAGTAACAATACGCTTTCCCACTAAATCAGTTCATAAGGCTTGGTTGTATTTTATATCATGATATTAGGAAAAAGAATACTAGAAAACACTCAAAGGAATAATGTATAAAACAACAAAGCAGTGATTCTTTGTGGAATCTTTATCATGGCATCTGCTTGCAATTCAGAACTAATTTTACTCATGCTCTTTGGTTTCACTTCCAGGCTTACCTTATCTTTTATTTTTCTCCAAGGTAGTTGCCCAACCACAAACTCCACCAACATGTAAAACAGGGACCAGAGATCATCATGTCGACCCATTTCCTATGAGAAAGAATTACTCTAATGCATCTTACAAAAACATGTAAGACAAAAGAGAAGATAGACTCTTCACTGTTAAATTTACATTACTATACATAACAAAATCATATAATAAACACTGCGGATAAGTTGTTAAAATAGATGGTTTAATTATAATTAGGAACAGACAATTGTATTTCCATTAAAGATATAGATAAAAGTTGAAGTGTGTTAACATTATGTAGTATCTACACTAGAAGAGCTTTTACACTAGAAGAGCTGTTTAATTGTAAGAAAACATGCTAGAGATTACTCAGTTCTATAAAATTTGCAATACAACTGAGCAAAATAATCATTAATATCACAACTATTTTTACAGAAACCTTTTAAACTCTCAATTACTGTAAATTACATCATCTTTTCCCCAAATTTAGATATATATAGTTCTACAAGACAAATGTATCTATATCAGGATACAAAACAAAATCAATAGCAAATGCATTTCTGCTTTCAGCTATGTCAGATGGATATAATACAGTTTCAGATACTCACTCTGTTTCTATGAGCATTGATTGATGCATATCGTACTGTTCCCCGAAAACCAGCAACAGCTCGTGGCTATTAAAGAATAACAATAAAAAAAGATTCCATCAGAAAGAAGCCCTCTGAACAGTTAAATATGTATCTATCAAGTGGGTGTGGAGCCACAACAAATATCAAATATCATTGATTTATTTCAATTTGCTGTGTTATCTGCATGTTATCAGTGGAAACCTACACAGGCATCAGAAAGCAACACATCATAGTTTCTTAAATCATACATTTGTGTCAGTTTTTGTTCTCCAGAATCATCATATCCTCTTTAACTCATGCATCAAAAAAATAAATCTGTATGATAGAAATATTTCTTTTTCTTCTCCAATAATGAAATATCTCCTGGTATTAACTAGTAGAAGTCTGAGTCTCAAAATTTTGACAGAATCTAAAACATAGCAATTACTTCCAGTTTGCTCAAATACACCAATATATGCACGGCACAAGTAGGTACTTAACAAAACGTACGTGCAACATTTTCCCAAATCATTTGCTGAATCAGCAAACCATTAAATGTTGAGAAATTCCAAAAGAAAGTACAGCCACAGGCATCTCCCAGCCATAGCATGGAAAGCTGAGGCTGAACAATAAACAACAAGGGTTTCACAACTGGCACTAATTAAAAATACTTATTTCTTCCCTATTTTCCAAATATCAGCTTTTCTTCCCTCACACTGTAGGTACTGCATGGACACACTTAAGTCAACTGCTGTTTTATAACTACAGAATCTATTTTGCCAGCCTTCCCTCCTTCATGTAAAATGTTACAAAAAAGAACTATGTAAATGATAATAATGTATATTTAACAATTTAAAAATTACAAAGTAGTGTTATTACCTTGTCTAAGCCAGATATGCAACCCATTCTACCCCTCTTGATCAATCATTTTGTATACACTAAAGAGAACTGCTGCAACTGCAGTTTGCTTTCCTTTGTACTACTTACTTCCCAATCAATAATTCTTTTTGTCTCTTACAACACTGAATGTGAGAAACTTGAGATCTATGACAATTCCTAAGATAATAAAAAATTCTGCACAATACATTGAAAAATCTTGATATAAACACAAAGATAATCACAATGCAAAATCATTGCTCTATTAATAAAATACCAGTAATACTGAGAACTGTCATTTAAGTATATCAGGAGCTGCCATTATTGTCAGTAACCCTATCAATTATACTCTGCATAATCCTGCAGCAAGGTATTTTAAAGTGATTTAATAGCTCAAGTAATGAATGACTGTTAAAGAGATGCAATGAGAAATGAATTAGCGTTAAAGTGGAAAGTATTTTTTAGGACATTTCTAATACGACCAGGATCTCAGACAATACTCTACATTCAGATCATCTTAGATTTCTCACATTCTAATAAAGGTTGAATAATGCTCAGAACACATTTTCTGTCAAGAGGGCAGTCAATTGAGTTACTGTCTTCAATCATCACATTCACTCTGAACATTACCCAGAAACAAAGCACAACACTAGCTGCAGGAACTTCACAACATCACATAGTAATAAACAGAATAGCTCTAAGTGTTTTGTAGTACTGCCAAATTTCAGAAGAAAATAAAGTCCTTTATTAAAAAAAATAAATATTTCTCCTTCCCAATAGTGCTGAGGACCAGAAATTATCCAAATGAGAACAATACAGCATCATTGCCAAGTCAATCAGAATACATTTCCAAAATGTTTGATCAACAGCAATCTTCAGAAGGGCTCTGAGAATACAACTTTAGAACACCATAAATTCAGTAAACAAGAGAATTAAAATTTCAGAAGATTAAACCGTACACATACTGTTTTCAACCTATGGCATGAATGTTAAAAAGAAAGGACTGTATTCACTTTTACCAAGCTAATTCTATCATTCTTCTAAGAATAGTGAAAAATATGAAAACAAGAATGGAGTGAGGTTTTTATTCTTAGAATATTAAGTAGACAAAAAAGTTAATGAGTAGAAAAAAAACAGTTGCTTGATAAGGGGAAAAAAAAAAGTAAGAAAAGGCATACAGAATCTAAATGACTCCATTCAGTTTGCAGAAATTAACAGTCTGACCTATTCCAGCACTATCCTGGGGAGAAAAGTCCAATGGAAGTATTTCATTGTGCATTAAGTCTATTACTTTTGAATATTGAACTCACAGCCATCCTTAAATATACCTATGAAATTATTTGCCCTCGGAAGAGGGAGAGTTCCAGTGCTTTCTATTATCTCAGGATCTCCTGTCAGAGAAAAGAATGCATGATAACTCTCTATATGTTAATTTGTGAAATGAATTCTGAATTCTTTTCTTCACAAGGATATCTAAATCCTTACCCAACCTAAAGAGCTTCTGTCCTGAAGTATACCCATAGATCTGATTTAAAAGGATTTGTAACTGTGTTACAGTTTTTAAGAAACATTTAATTACTTTAGTAATGCAGTTGACCACTATTCAGAAGTGGTATTACAATCCCACTCAACAATAAATTAATTATACCGTGTCATTTACTTGAATTATGGGTCTGGTAGCCCAAAGCATGTTTGCTCAATTCACAAGAGAATTTAGACTCCTAAGCATCTGCAAAACTTCTCAAACTGCTTCAGAGCTCCTCATGCACCTTACATTTCATGTAGAAAAAGAGAAGCATTAGAGGCAATAATAGGAACTTCCTGAATGATTCACTACATTTTTCAAACATAGTGGCCTCTCTGCTACTACTCATGTTAATTTGTTTTTTCCCCCGAGTTAATCTGACAAAAACTGAGAAATAACATTCTTGTAGATCTACCTTTATAGTAATTTCTTTCAGATCCCATATCTAAGAAATGTGCTACCAAAGCAAAGGAAAATTTCCTTGTTGAGGGGAAAACAGTAACAAAAAAAGAGGTTGGTGGTGTTTTTATCATTGAATATTTGGAGCATGTAGCTGCAGAATGTATTTGCAGTAAAGATATGGTGAATTTCATGTTTCAGTGCATTCGTGAATTCCACTAACATCCTTGATTAAATGAACCACATTATGTTCCTTCCCAGGACAAATAAAATAATTAACTCTTTTTTGTGTGCGTGTTTTTTTTTTTTAAATTATTATTTTTCCCCCCCCCCGCTCATTCCCTCCCTCCCTCTTCCCCCTCTTGAAATTTAGTGGGTTTTAATGCTTTTTTTTTTTTTTTTTAAGTCAACTTTTTCATGCAACATCATTTCCTGGACATGGCTCTGTCCTGGAAACATTAGAAAATTTTTTAGATAAAACTACATAAAAGAAATCAGGACTTACTAGAAAAGGGAGCTACTGCCTCTAAGCAGAATTGTTTGCAGATTCTTGAGGGACACTAAGCTTACAAACCTGTCCACATCCACTGGTTCTTTGATGGGTCAATAGAGGAAGCAAATCATACTCCTTTAATGCAGTTCAGTAACTCCAGAAATGCTCTGGGCATTGTTGAAAATTTTACATGGAGTAAAAGTTACCTTTATACTACAGTCACAGAAACTATATAATAAACATGAAAAAAATAAAAACAATAAAAGACTTCCTTCTTATTTTATCTGACATACTACAAGTATCTCTCTACCACTCAATGACTGTTAATTCTTAAGTGCCTTTAGGTCTTCACATTGAGAAACCAGCTCAGGCAGTGAACACTGCCTTCTCAATACTGCCTCTAAAGCTGAATACGAGGATGGGTAGAGAAGCAGCCAATCTATTTCCCTTTGTAAAGAATTCTCTTTTCTATTCATCTATTGGGAATACAATTTTAGGATTTACCTTTCTTTATATCAAACGGCACGTTCCGTCACTCCCTTTTCTTTGTGGGTATAAGCTTCGGAATTTAATTTACTGCTTAGCATGCATTAGCATCAGTTTAAAGAAAATGAAACATTCAGGGATCATCTGGGTAAGCAAAGGTCAGATAGCTGAAACACAATTGCCTTTAGAATAAGTAATACATCATGATTAGTTATCACTCTAATGCACAGCTTTTCAAAGCCATACTTCTAACACTCTATAAAAACCATTCAAGCCACTAACAACAGAATACTCACACTGAAAATTCCTTATTAAACCATCTCCTACCAACTATCAGTAGGACATACAGCTTGATCTCCATTCTACCTAAACAAAAGCTGTGATTTCCATACTGCTACACAGTTCCAGCAGATGCTGAGTAACGAGCCGAGTTAACATCTAGCAGTACAATTTAATTTTGTTATTGTGGATTCTAACAGGCATGTGGTAACAAATCAAAATTTAGGGCCAACTGTCTGTGGTATAAAAAGCATCACAGCAACACTTGGTGCTTAAACCAGCTCCTGAGCATTTTCAATCTGGAGTATTCACTTTGGCATTGATATGCACTTGCTGAAAACAGCAGAGTTTTCAAAACTGATTCATAAGCAGACAAATTGGAGGCTGGAAGTGGTAACAACCTACCGTATGTCTATCACAAATCTAAACTTGTTCCAGTGAAAAAAAACACACAGGATACATCTCACATCTTCCATGTGCATGTTTACTTTGCTGTGTGTGATGGAAGAGAGATTACCATAAGAAAAAGACCAGTTACTTTATTTAGCAAGCTAATGCACTAGCAGGGGATTTCTCCAGACAGAAAAAATAATGTTTTTCTCATCTCTAGAAGAAAAAAAGCTTTTACTGCATTATCAGAATTCCTATGTTCTTAGCAGACGAGAGAACTCAGATCCTAATTTTTACTTGTTTGTGTGTATCATATATAGTACTTACTATGATACTATCATACATTACAAAGTTAATTCAGTAGTAGACTTATTTCAAGACTGCAAAATTAAGGCTGACAAGTTCATGTATATTAAAAAAATCTGTTTTCTTTTTAAACTATTCATAATATTTTTTCATAAATCAGAGAAGTTCACAGCTCAGAAAGAATTAAAGAATAGAGATGTTGTTTTCATTTTGGTTTGCTTCTACTTTCACCAAGAAAGGAATTCTACTGGATCAAGCCATCTGTCTTTCCACTATAATAGCTTTTAATTTCAGGCAAATAGGACAGCTCTC